ATGAGGCAAGTTTTGAGCGCTGAAGGCACAAGCCGCTAGAGGGGTGTGGGGGCATGCCCCCCAGAAAACTTTGAAATCTAGAGGTTTAGAAATGCTCTTTTGAGGATTTTCCGTTGCATTTTTCTTCAGAAAAGTCAAACTTTAAGAAAAAAATTAAAAAAGGCCAAAATTAAGACGAGGCAGTTGCCTCGTCTTGCCTCATGCTAGCTACGGCCCTGTGGAGCCGTTGCAGTATTGTCCTTTCGGGAAAACTTCAGAGGCTCCAAAACTGTGCAGATCATATTCTAATGCTTGCAAGGGATCAAATTTATATTGATGAGCTGTTCTGGGCACTAAGTTGGGGTAAACTCAAGCCGGTAGCTACATCCACTACGATGTACGAAACTCTACACGAAAGGACTAGCTTTCACGATTTGTGGTGCTCAATGACGTTTAATTTCTTCCTACCGAGTCAGGAGTTCCAAAAACAAATTGGCTCTTCCAGAGCCTCGCAACAATTGCTTAGAATGAACTGAATCTCTTAGCCTATCCCAAGATCTGTGTTCCAACACAAATTACGTCATCCCAGCTTTTAAAAAAAAGACAGGGCATCCTTGAGAAGCAACCTTACATGGGGTTAAACCTAATCCTAACCTTAGAAATCTATTATTCCTGTCCATACTCAGTCTAGGCCTATCCTAGAAATTAATCGTTTGTCTAGGCCTCGAAAGTTTTATATTATTATTGCTGACGTAAAGCTCCGTGATGTCCTGTGAAAAACACATGACCTACCCCACTCAAGGCAAATATTGTCATCGCTTAGTAACCTGGCACGCGGAATAGAAGGTGGTGAGGTAGCTGCATTTTAGAATTATGGAAACCTTCTCTCTCGTTATGAAGGCGGTCTTGTTGTGGTTGGGTCTGTGCAATTGTTTTGTTTCTGTGAGAACATCGACGCAAGCCCCCCCTCAATTTTGTCCACATCATCAAGGAAATGACCCAAACGATGTGAACGCGAGAATTAAGAAGTTAAAGGATCAAGCGTAAGTGGTGAACACGTTATAACTTTTACTTCGGTTTCTTTCTCGATTTTATAAGTGTGCCCTGTTGGAACTTGACCTTCCTTCTTAAAAATATATATTCAATTCGGTACGACATGAGTGAAAATGAAGTCTAACTTCAGTACAGTATTTTTAAACTTAAAAGTACTACACTAAGAGTTTCGTAATTCCTATTTTAAACCCATCTGAGCCGGAGAAGAACATTCTATTTCGCTATCGTGACGTGTACAGCAAAATTGCTAAAAGTTTCAATAAATGTACCAAGTAATCGGGAGGAAATTCGCGCAAGACTCTAAACTTATTATCGGCAGCTATGAAACCGAAATTGAAAGCCATTTTAATGTTGCATGACTCTCCTAATTTGTCACGCAATTTATAGGATACACTTTCCCTTCCTCAAGAATATGGAGGACTGAAACTACATATTGATTTAACAACTAAACTCCTTTGTATATCTAGTGTGACAACATCACCTTTGATTGCTGTGCATGTCTTTAGAATTGTATTACTAACAGTAAATAAAACTTGGCGCAATTTTTTTTTCATCTGTTGATTTTCTTCAACCTTAATTGAGGTGATCTGGCATCTTATTGGGTACAGACTTATGTGAGTCTTTCGCCTTGGAAATGCTGCCATTTTTGCACTTGAACAACGTTATATTATGCTAGAATGTTTATAGGACGACAATATAGTCACTGTAGAAAGCATCATTCATGTGGATCATAAAAAATTTCATAATTTGGATATATCAACAAAGTTGAAATGGTAAATTGGCCACTGTAACGATTACAAAAGCTGATGTTTCGAGCATTATCCCTTCGTTGGAGTGAATTGAGGAATTGTGGGTTGTGCGTGCTTTTAAAGGTGGAAAATGGAGCTACTTTATTGGAGGGAACATGGCAACAAGAAAAACAATGTTAAATTAGTGGAATGAAAAGCGTTCGTTGATACCTGTGGGATTTAGACTGCTGGTTTGAAAGATGAGCTTTCAAGATTTTTACGGCTTTCCGTGCTACCTAAGTGTAAGGAAAGACCACAGATTGCCATATGTTGCTTAGAATGATTAGGTAAATTTAAATGTCTAGCAACTGGTTTTGATGTGTCCTTGTCATTCCTTTCCATGTCTTGAAGGTGTTCTCGGAATCGGTCACCGAGTCTTCTGCCTGTTTCGCCGATGTATATCTTTTTGCAATAAGTGCAAGTTATGCAATAGATTACATTGGCGG